ATGTGAAATGCTGCAAGGAGTAGTAGCGTTTCCAAGTTTGGCGTTTTGGATAAAAACGCTGCATCCATAAGCTATTTTACCAAACATCTGTTTTTAATTGCTCAAATTGTCAAACAAACTAATTTTGGTTAAAAAGCTAAAAATTGGTCAAAATGTCATTATTCAAACAAAATAATAAATAAATAAAATTGCAGGGTATAAATGAAAAAAAAAATAATAATAAATAAAACTGCCGGGTAATTTGGTAATTCAAAGAAGTGCCACGTGTCAAGTTCTAGAATGCTCATATCTTTTCATATATAAAAATTCTATGAAGTCATCCACTACTTAATGTATCTGTCCACATTGTATTTATTGCAGGACACATGTCAATACACTATTGGTGAATAAGTGTAGATGACTCCATAAGTCGAGTCATCCGATGACTCCATAGCAAGACTGTATATGTATATATATAGATATATCCATGTCCTTATTTATTTTTGTATGAATGCATTAGAATGATTCCAAAATCATAGAACGACTTTTATATGTCAATAAAATTGAGGACAAAACATTTTAGGTGGACACAATAGACATAAAATAAACTAATGTAGCTTGAAACACCTTAAAGTTGATAACAAATTTTGTCACGGGTTAGTTTGTGGATAAAATGATCGCGTACTGAATATTAAAAATAATGGTGTAATCTCACTTATGTTTAACTATGTCTATGTAACACCCCATTTTTATGCATACAATGAACTTAATATCATTTTCTCAGTGGTACTAGTTTATAGAGTGATGTGGTGACTGTGGTCAATCACAATAAAAGGACGAAACCTTTGAAAAATAAACAAACACCACAAAACCACTTTGTAGAATATTCAAAAATAACAAAATATAAGTTTAGCCATGTACTTTCGCTATTGATGTACGGAGTACGGTGTCTATCATACAAAGACCCTGTAATTTTGCCACTCATAATCAATCATTTTTAGTTTAATGAATGACAAATTTGGAACATCGCTTCCAATTTACTTCTACTAGTCTCTTTATTTTTTTTTTTACCGGTTCAATTTACTTCTATTAGTCACCACAATTGTAATTCATACATCAAGAAAAATTTATGTGGGACTCTTTGGTTTTATTTGGTCATAATCTACACATTGATTGGGCATAGAAATAAAAAGATGTTGACAATCGATTTCGCTGACTCTTGCTGGATGCTTTGAGAACGTCAACTCACAGGCATATAAAAGTTTTCACAAGTTATAGAAGTATCAAGAATTGATAAAATTCTATTTCTGAAAAGCTCATTCTCTTCTGAGGGATACATGGAAAAGGATCAATATTTCATGTGGTTAAAGGCCTCTCTCTCTCTCTCTCTCTCTCTCTCTCTCTTTTCTTTTTTTCACGAGCATAGTGCATTACAAGTCCAGTAAAATATTGATGCAAGTCGCATACAAACTAACTAGATCAGATTCTACAGCCTACCACGAGCAAAATTGGGGTCTGCTGATTACACCTAGAAAAACTGGGACGAACAAATACAGGAATTAATTAGTCAAAACTATGATTTACTGAAAATAAATAGATGGGATATTGGATACTTTACCTTTACTGTGACGGGGAGGTACTGAACTTTCTCGACATTCCTGGTCACGAGTTTTCTAGCAAGATAAACTTTCATCAGCCATCAATCAACATGAAAATTTCCTAATTTTGGGAAAAAAAATGTTTGTTATTTCAGAGTGCCGTTTGAGTTTTCACGCAGTAATTATCCAAGTGAATCTAAGCTGAAATTTGGCTTTACAATTATTTGATACTTCTGACTTGCAACAAGTGTCCAGCATCTGAAGCATTCATCTTCATCTTTTCGGAAGCTTCCTTCTCCGCCTTCTTCCTTTCAAACTCCAGCTGTTTGCAGTTCTCTTCTTGGGCTTTCTTAAACATCCTCACAAAGTTGAACAAAGTTGAGATCACTGCAAACATTTTGTATCAAATTAAAACCTCATCTCAAATCACGGGAAAAAGAAAGAAATGACAGACAACAGTCCTCACACTACACTTTAGCTTTTTACTATTCCCCGGTCGCACAATCATATGAATGCCACAAGTAACAGTGAAGGAAACTAAAAACTACCTTGCTCGAACGGACAACGAGCTGGGTACTCACCAAAATAAAGGATCAATGAGTCTACATTTCGTCCCTGCATAACAATATTGTTAGATAGTCTCATTAAGTGACCATGCATTTTTAGTCCTGTTGGTTTAATGCCAGCAATTTTAGTCCCAATGTTCTAACTTTTCACCTTTTGATCCTATGATTTAATATTTTGCTGCAATTTTTAATGACTGAAATAGCAACAAAATTTAAATTTACACAACTGAAATTGCAACAAACTTTTTTATTATAGGAATTAAATTTCAAATAAAAAATCTATAGATTTGGGAATTTGAGAACTAAAATTGCAGCAAAATATTAAATCACAAGACCAAAAGGCGAAATGTTAGAATCTTAGGACAAATACTGCTATGACGTTAATACTTTATTAGATAATAAAGTTGAGACTAAAATATATCTAAATAATAATTTTTAATAAGTAAATTATTAGACTTATGAAAATTACGGTTGATAATTGTTATTTATTATTTACTCATCATAGATAAATTATAATTATTATATAATGATAATATGTTAAAATAATTATTATAAATAATAAACAATAAAGGGCAAGTCCTTGACTCTATTCCCGATCCAATGGTCGGGCAAGTGGCAGGACTAAAAGTGCAATTTAGCCAATATAATATAATAATATTCATTGATTCCCTAAGCTGATCCTAAAGGCAACTAATACATACCACTCCAGCATAAAGTGAAGCCAAGCACCTCACTTCACCTTCCTAAAAACAAAGGAATTCTTTCAAAGCCTGTAATTAAACTCTGTTATAATAAGAATCTTAAACAAGCACATAAAATAAACAAGTATACTGACATCAGCTTAGTAACTGCTCTCTTTCTGTAAGCCTGTTGATATTCTTTGTAAATGGGTACTCATATGTAAACCCACCACACCCACGCACACAATGAAAAAGAACAAGAATAAAAAGTAGAGAAAGAGGAACACTTGACAGCGAGTCCCCACTAGATGGAATCTCCTTAATAAGAATAATAAGATACTGAAATAGATACAAAAACACTTGAGAGCTTCACACACTAAGAAATTCCTTAAAGTAAAGAAACAAGTAACCAAAATAAGTACAATGCACTATACTTAAGTTTTAAATCAGACAGGGTCAGATGTTTGCCCAAAAATGCAAAGAGACACAAATAATATCATGTGCATTCAAGCAAGAGCCTTTGATTCTCTTTAGTCAAATCTTGGTCCATTGCGGTGACCCACGGTGCATTCTGACAACAAGCTCGGACTCGCTGAACCTCAAGATTTTCGGAAGAGCATGTGTTGGAAAAATGCCATGGCCTGGCAGCTTCCACTGGTTCTCCGGGATCGGGGGAAGCGGTACGTGGAACAATAACATAATATATATGCTGGGTCTTCTAGGGAGTTCACTTTTGGACCAGTCTCAATTACACCAAACTTCTCCCCGTATTTTGCCACATACGTGGGTTCGGTCCTCCAAGGCCTGTTAGAGCTCTCTTCAACCCCCCGAAGATCAAAATTTTTATGCTGCCTGCTCCCACCACCTCGAAAACCTTCTTCTTTTACTGGCTTGGGAAAGACCCGCGACCATTTGGTCCTTACATTTTCAGACAATGATTATGCTATGACCACTAAGTAAGAAATTCAAAACTCATTACTACACAAATGTTGTCTGTGGATACATGTATGATGATATAATGAAATGAAAGGCGCAAGAAGTTACCAGTTGCACTTTTTCAGGTTTACCCACTGAGCCTAGTGTACCAGTTTTTCTACCTGAACCCCCTTGATCTGAATTTGGAACAACAGTAGAGAATAGAGATTCAAGTTCTGAAATATCAATCTCCGGTGCCCTAAAAGGAAAAAAAAAAAGATATACAAATAAGAAGTTCTACAAATAAAAAAAGGATATGCAAAATTAGATTGCTTCATTCACCCAATTGATCAATACTTACCTAGAAGCTTCAGATTTTTGCGTCTCTGCCCACAAGCTGCCAGAAACTGCTCTTGATAGTTTTAACCAATGTAACGGCTTCAGTTTCTTCGATTGACAACGTGAAGTCTGAGTACGAGACAATAAACTTTTCCCTGCGGCTCCAAGTGGAGGAGTTGAAGGCGGAGGAGGAGATGGAGATCCAGGCATACTAGTATCTTTGTTGCTGCTTGACGGAACAGAATTTGACAAACTAGCTGGCTCTCTGGAGGAAAGGAGTGGAGACGGAGGAGCAAAAGGAACAGATGGAGGACCACTCATGCTGAGGCTAGGGTTAGGAGGCAGAGGTGGTGGAGGTAAAATTACTGAATTTGTAGGTCTTGCACTCTGGCTAGAATGTGGAGGAGGAGGAGGAGGAGGAAGAGGAGGCCCACCTGCTACAGACACTTCTCCAAAAGGCATTGAAGGAGAAGGTGGTGGTGGGCACATAGCAGGTTTCGCGTTCAAACTAATCTTCAAAGGTGTTGCTCGGGGAGAAGCAGCCAGCCCAGAAGGTGGAGAAGAGAGCTCTTCTCCACTATACCTCTCCTTGGGTGTCTCTAGAGGAGGAGGAGGTAGAGGTGGAGGTGTAGGTGGAGCAGGTCTGGCCTTAGGTGGAGTCAAAGGCGGGGCAACCTGTCCAAAACTTGGAGGGGGTGGAGGTGCGGGTGGTGCAGGTCTGGGGACGGAATTATCTTTCAAATGAGGGGTCAAAGGAGGTGGAGGCATAACTCCAGAAGCAGAGTGCTTCTCCAAATGGGGTTCCGATGGAGCTGGACCACAAGGTGATGGAGGTACTATAGATGGGGGCGCACCTCTGAGAGATGAAGGCTCATTAGGCGGTTCAAAAGGAGGTAGAGGCGGAGACGGAGGCGGAGGAGGAGGTGAAGGTCTCTTAGCCGAGCTTTCTGACAAGCGTCAGTCAAATGTAGCAGGAGGCGGAGGCCGAACTTCAGAATCTAAGTTCTTGTTCAAATGAGAGGCTGGCGCAACGAAAGGTCCAACTGGAATAGGAGCAGATGAATCGGTTGAAATTTCCTGAATCGGAGTCGCATAAGGTGGGGTAGGAGGCGGGGGAGGATGAGGCACAGTTTTACGAGTGATGTCTGTTTCGAGAGAGGAAATATGAGGGAGTGATTGGCGCCCAGTACCTTCAATAACATTTAGGAAAGGTGACTTAGTTGTTGTGGAAGAAGGAGATTCGGATGTAGCAGTATGTGGAGATAGAAGTGGTGGAGGGGGAGGAGGCGGTGGGGAAGTGGCAACTTTGGCGGCTCCAACAGCATCTGCAGTTGAATGAGGGGAGTCGAGTTGAGATAGCCTAACCCTCACGAATTTCTTATGGGATATTCTAGGAGAGACAACTCCAGAGTCCTCTTTCAGAGAACTTGCCTCCAGTGTAGATGGATGTTTTCTGTTGCCAATATCAGCGATTTTTGCTGGAGGAAGTGCGGGAGTTGAGGGAGAAGTTCTAGAATGTGATGTGTCAGCTTTACTTTGTTGAGCAATGGAGTTGGACTGTGAAATTGAAAGTTGATGAGGTAGCAAAGATGATGGGAGTGAAGAAAGATCTGCCGAAGGAATAAGGGTTTGCTTTTGAGATGGGATAGTCACATTTTGGGAGTGGGGATCATCCTGCTTTCTCTCCATATCTGCACTTGCGGACATTTCCGGCAAGAAATTAGAACGGTTGTCTGAAGGCAAATCTGGTGTGCTCTTAGCAACAGATTTAACACCTAGTGCAGCTAGGCTCTGGTTCACCTGATATGTTTTAGTTTGAGAATAAGCTTCAACAGACATCTGTTGGAGAACTTCAACAGTGGCATCGCCCTTTGGGACTAACCAATCAACACTATTAAAAAATTCTTGAACTTTAGCAAATGCCTCAACAGGAAGGCCATCTTTCTCTTCGAAGCAGGAAGAGTCCACAGGGGTTACAGAGGAAACAGAATCCATCTCTGAGAAAAAAACCTTCATTCACATAACAGTTTTAGTTAGTATAGTTGAGCCATCGATGAACTGAGAAAACAACAATGTGCAATTTATCAAAGATGTCAGAGAGCCATACCTCTGCCTTGAAGTCCTTGGGAAATAGATCCTTCGCATCCCACGATATGTCAATTTCATCTCGATTGAGCATTTAAATATTTGACCTGATAAAAGCTGTGTTAAACATGGCCCGGAACATCATGACTTCCCGATCTTTGTTGCCAAGCAAGCAGATACATTCCAGTACAACAACACCTTGAGATCAAAATGTTGCTTCTCTAGAAAAGGAACACCAATTTCAGTGGAAATCAAAAGATTAAACCTTAAGCTTAGTTGATTTGATCCTCATAGCTAAAGAAACTATTTTGATATTTTACCTTTTCACCCCCATGAAGATCAATAATTGTTTTCTACATTGACAAGTTTGTTATGCATTTATTGTTGTTCAAATAGTAGGGATTTAATGAGTTTATCATGCAGAAAGCATAGCAGCGGTTTAGCTATCATTTCTGACTATACTACGGGATAATATCAATCCCAAGACTATTAGCATCAGAAAAGGCCATTGGCGAACCAGATAAACTTTAGACAACTTGATCTCTATTCACAAATAGAATTGTGAAAAGACCAAATAGTTCTGAGCTTTCTTAAGAGCATACAGTAGATAATATCACATCCAGAACATTTTGAAGCAGATTAGACAGGAAAATGTGTATTCCCGACCAGATATGACCCATGCTAACATACTAAAATGCATAGGCTCTGCAATTGGAAATAAAAATATTTTTGGTCTTGTCTTGCCGGATATTTTTTTGAGATTGAACTCAAAATCCAATCTTCATCTAACCCAACTTAACTCTCCCCAGATCAACATAAATAAATAATAAAAACCAATCATTACACACAAAAACAAAATTCACTATTCATCCACTGACATATTTTTACTATCAATCGTTAACAATCATTGTTTTACTATTTCTATATCATATCAATCATTACATTTTAACTCATATCCACTCACAAACTCAAAAGCAAATCCAAATATCCACCCAATCATTTTTTTTTCAATTTTATCTCACTTTATCCAATAAATCAAATCCACTCCAGAAAAACTTATTCCCACACTATTCTGATTTGGATTCTCTAGATTCTAAAGAGTTTCTTACAGGTTTTTAAAGTTGTGGCTTGCTATCTTAATAAGACTTCCAACGAAGCATGCATGTAAACTGCACCAGGACGCAGCCATCAACAGGTTCCTTTTGTATATCAACTGGTAGAACGATCATAAGCAACGCCATAAATAATATTACATTGCACTATACATTAATCAGTCAGAATGTAAGTTTGTTACATTAATCAATGTCAACTAGAGCTGAGCCAACAACAAATCCACCTCTGCTCACCAATAAAAGTATTTTCACTTAGATGGAATTCTCTTCCAGACTTCCTTACTACAATTGACAACCAAATTGAATATTACTTGCTACTATTAACAACAAGTCTTGAATGTTGACTGAAATACCAACAACTGATCAACCTCCTGTTACCAGCGAAAAATACATATGTTTTCTCAAGCGACAAATATATGAACATGTTACAGATCATAAACAACTCACCTGCTTGTAATGTCGAACAACTCTACTCTTCTTTGGAGTTGAAAATAGAACCTTAGGTGTACGGTCAGACGCTTGGCGAGGATCTTGCCCATAAATACGAAAAATTGGCCAGCATCCACCTTCTCCATCGAAGTTTGGGATTGTTCTAATAATGACACAATCCATTGTGAGATCCCTGTCTAATGGGGGCCACTCTGTGGCGACGTTCCTTCTCGATACATACTGCAAGTATCTTAATTGTGATGGCATGGGATTCACGGGGTACAATAAGTGCAAAAGCTCACGAGGAGCTTGCCTGTACACCATATCCAAGGTCTTAAGCTCCCCACTGTAATGCTTTTGATAGTATAAATTTATGTTCATTGTTCTTTGCTTTTTGTTGTTAGGTTTTTTCAAAGGCTAGTAGTCCGGCATAAAAAAGTACTCCATGTGATTATCGAACATCCACTAAGGCTGAGAATGATTTGCAACTTCATTGTAATACATTAATATTATTGTTTGTATTTAAGTGTGTGGACATTTATGTTAAGTTGAAGTAGTTTCATTTTTAGGTAGTAAAAATAAATTAAAAAATAAGATATTCAATATTAATTTATAGGCCCCGTCTAGTCCCCGCCTAGGCGCTAGGGGCTGGTCGGGCGCCTAGCGACTTCTATAACATTGGTAACAAGTATATAAAGGGATCCTCTAACCCTAAACCTCACAATTCATTTTTCTGCCATAATCTCATTTTCTAATTTTACTTTTCTCTCTCTCTCTCAATGTTGCTCTTGTGATTGGTTGTAATAAATAGTATGGGTATATGATAAGGTTAATAAAGTTTCAACGATTAGTAACCAATAATATTAATATTATTAGATGATTATTAGAATCATAAAATGTCCAACATACTAAACTATTCTTACAAATAAAGACTAGAGAAAGGCTATGGAGCCAATGATTGGCTCCTTTATGGAGGCAACCATCAATGTTATAGTGCCACGTAGGCCATGTGAAAAAATAATTAACTCTACATAGCCTACGTGGCACTATAACATTGGTGGTTGGCTCTATAAAGGAGCCAACCATTGACTCCATAACATTTTAGTCCGAAATCCTCTAGGTTTAGGGTTAGGTACTTTTATTGGTAGCCTGTTTAAATTCGGGCATTTTAGGCCTGTACCGTATAGCCCGAAACCGCTAGGACTAACCCGTTTAACATCTCTACTCTGAAGTCTTACCCGACCGGCACGTGATTCTCACATGCTAACTGGTCTAGGCACACAACCTACGTGAACCAATCACGCCCTTCCACGTACGCATCCCAATTACTGCTAGAACAATCCAAGGGATATGCCAGATGCCCTTTCCAATCTAGTCACACGAGTCATGTTTTTTCCTTTTTTAATTTGATCTTTTGTTTATTGAAAATTTGAAATAAATCACACTTGCATTAAAGCCCCAAACTAGGATACACTCCACTGACTAGAGTATATCCTATCTCCTCCCCTTCCCAACTAATCTTTTTCTACCCTCCCTCCAAAAGAATATTACCTATTTTCTGTTTTCCCCCTCCAAATCAAATCAGCTTCTTTAGGGCATATTCCGCCTAAATTCCTCCCCGCTAAACAGATATAAACAGCGAAAAACTCCTCACCCCTTTTCAAAACAANAAAAGGATGTACGGGTTTACTCGAACGAAGAGCGTGACCGACCCGTTGGATGATAAAGCCAAGGCTCGGCTCATCCAATACGAACCCTGCCACGTCAGCAGCGGCAGTGAACACAGCGCCCAGGCCGACCCTGACATCACCTCTCCGATCCTCTCCGAGCTTTTCTATGGTTTCACCGAGCCGAAGAACGACTCAGGCACTGACCTAGATCCGCCGCCAATGCGCGATTCGAGCTTCGTCAATGCAGATTTGACGGATGCTTTTGTAGTAGATCTGACGGACGAAGACGAGTTCAGAATCGCGCTCGAGGCTGATGTATTAAGAGCCCGCCAGGTGTTTTCCGGCGAGATCAGCTCGGACAAACAGATGGAGCGCCGGAGTGTGATGGCGTTTTTGAGGAACCGCGGCTATGAAGCGGCGGTCTGCAAGACCAAGTGGGAGAAGTCCGGCGAACTCGCCGCCGGAAGCTACGAGATAATCGACGTGGTGGCTGCAGCCGGGACGAGATACCTGGTCGATCTGGATTTCGCGTCCGAATTCGAAATCGCGAGGCCGACGGAGGCTTACGAGCGCCTCCGGCGAGGGCTGCCGGAGGTCTTCGTCGGAAGGGGGGAGTATCTGAGAAGGATTCTGAAGGCGATGAGCGGTGCCGCCAGGCGGTCGCTCAAGAGCGGTGGCCTCCACTTGCCGCCGTGGAGGAAGTATCAGTATATGCGGCTCAAATGGCTTGGCCCTTACCGCCGGACGACGAACCTGTTGCCGGCGTCGTTTTGTGCGGGGTACAGGAGTTTTGACGCAGTTTGTTGTAGTCGCACAGTTGGGTTTGATACGGCTGCTAACGGTGGTGGTCGTGCCGTGGTTGCCCGTGCGAAATGATTTTGTATTGGAGAGTTAAAAGTGTGTATGCAGCAATGTGTTTTTTTGTTTTGTTTGGCCAAATAAGAAAATGATTTTCTCCTCGGGAATTCTAGTGGAGTGGCATTTATAAATTTATGTTCTGCAAAGTGTATGTATGCGGCAAATGAACGTAGCGTGAGGCTGAACAAATTAGCACCATGTCCAAGGAGAATAATAGAATATGTACAAGTTATATAGCATTTGGTACAACCCAACTTTGTTTATATTGTAAATAACATTTATTCCCATTAGGTTTAGGTTATTTAGTCATTTGGCCCAAGTATATAAGGGCATATGTTGTGAACCGCAGACTTTGATTCATTCATATACAATTGAGATTTTTCTGAGTTTGTTCATCTTCCTCTCTTTCTCTCTCAATATTCTCTCGCTCGATCTATCAGAAGATTAACATGGTATCAGTCGCTGGTGCCTCGTCGATCTGATTTCCTTTTTTCGCTGCATCACCGCTCTCTCGTCTTCAATCTCCGGAGACGCCGTTATTTCTCTTTTCTCATTCGCCCTCGATCTGTACGGTTCTAAACTAGATCCGTACGATCACCTTTCGATCTGTACGATTTCAGTTTTAATCTCTACAATCGTGCACAAATCTCTTGTTCTCGGTTCCGATTGACGACCAATGACTACTCCAACGACTAATTTTACCGACGATCCAAATCTGCCATATTATCTACATCCAAGCGACAATCCCGGTGCAATCATCGTCGCCGAAGCGTTTGACGACACCAACTATGCCTCCTGGTCTCGTGCGGTTACAATGGCCTTGAGCGTCAAAAATAAACTTGGCTTTCTGGATGGTACTGTTTCTATCCCTATATCTACTGGTAGTAGCAATGAGTTCTTTGCCTGGACTCGTGCTAACAATCTCGTGCTCTCTTTGCTGTTAAATTCCATTTCCAAAGACATTAGGCAATCTCTACTGTTTTTCTCTAATGCAAAAGATGTTTGGGACGAATTAAAGGCACGGTATGCATTGAGCAGTGGTCCTCGTGTTTTCCAAGTTGAAAAATCACTGAGTACTATGGACCAAGGCTCAATGACCATTACCCAGTACTACAACAGTTTCAAAACCCTTTGGGATGAGTATCTTTCTTTCAGACCTATACCTCGTTGTTCCTGTGGTGCCCTTGCCTCGTGCACATGCAATATTTTTGATACTATGGCTAACACACAACAAACTGACTCAGTTATCAAATTCCTAATTGGTCTAAATGAGTCCTACTCTGCCCTGAGATCACACTTTCTTCTCTCGCAACCTTTCCCAACCGTAACCAAAGTCTATTCCCTATTACTTCAAGAAGAAAGCCAACGAGCTCTCCACTCCACTTCAAAATCCCTGGATTCTATGGCCATGGCTGTCAGAACAAATTTCCGACCCAAACAACCTTACAAACATACCAACAAGCCTACTGAACCATCCAAATCCTATCTCAGAGATGCAAACAAACCTAGACCTAAATGCCTCCATTGTGGTTATCTCAGCCACACAAGTGACAAGTGTTATCAAGTTGTTGGTTATCCCTCAAATTGGGAAGGTCCTCGTGGTCCCAGAATTCATCCTAAGCACTCTGCTAATTCTGTGGTATCCACACCAAATGAGTCTTCTAATAATATCACTCCTTCCATGACTGACCATCTCTTTCATGAATTCTTAGCATTTAAAAGGTCTCATGAGCAATCTCAGAACATGAATGACACATCTATGACTCCTCAAACAACTGCTATTGCAAATGCTTGTGCTGCTTCATCTGCTCCATCAGGTACCTCAGGTACAAATACTTCTTACTTAGCACATTCTGTGGCACATAAATATACTTGGATACTTGATATTGGTGCATCTGATCACATGATTTGTGACTTATCTCTATTTACTTCTAATGTGCAAAATGTATCTATCCCTGTTCATTTACCTAATGGTTATGTCACAGTTGCTTCTCATATGGGTGATATTACCTTGTCTCCTCATGTTACATTAGCTAAAGCACTATATGTTCCTCATTTTAACATCAACTTGATCTCCATTTCTAAGTTGGCTTCCACCAACAATTGCACTTTAAATTTTTCTTCTTCACAATGCATTATGCAGGATTTGATATCTCTCAAAATGATTGGTTTTGCTAAAGTCAAAGCTGGTCTATACCATTTTGATCCATCTGTTTGCTTACTGAACAATCTTACTTACAATAAAACTGATGTATCCTGCATTAATACCTCTGTATCTGATTCAAATAACCTTGTATCCCATGACATATGGCACTCTAGACTTGGCCATTTATCATTTCACAAACTACAACAACTTCACATACCTGTCAAATACTCTGCAAACAATAAAACACCCTGTGATGTTTGTCATTCTTCTTGACAGAGGAAATTACCTTTTGAACTCAGTGCCTCTACTGCTCAGTCATCTTTTGATTTAATACATTGTGATGTATGGGGTCCATTTCTGTTCCTTCATATGCTGGTCATAAGTATTTTTTAACAATTGTGGATGATTTCAGTAGAACAACATGGGTATATCCTCTTGTTCAAAAGTCAGATACCAAAACAAGTTTGACACATTTTTATAACATGGTTAAGAATCAATTTGCAAAGTCAATCAAGGTTTTGAGATCTGACAATGGCATAAAGTTTTTATTACATGATTTCTTCACTGACAATGGGATTTTACATCAAAAGAGTTGTGTGGAAACCCCACAACAAAATGCAAGGGTTGAGAGGAAGCACCAGCATATACTTCAGGTAGCCAGAGCTTTACTCTTTCATGCCAATTTACCATTATCTTTTTGGATTAACTGCATATTAACTGTTGTGCATATCATCAATAGAATCCCCACAAAAGTCCTACATGATACATCTCCTTATCACATGGTTTATGACAAGCCTGCATCTCTAGATCATCTCAGAACAATAGGATGTCTTTGTTATGCATCCACATTGAGTTCTCATAGACACAAATTTTCTCAAAGAGCATCAAAGTGCATATTTCTTGGTTATCCCTTGGATTATAAAGCCTATAAGATTTATGACTTAGATACTAAGAAAATATTAATCTCTAGAAATGTTGTGTTTTATGAGACTGTTTTTCCTTTCAAAGACAATTACCCTGGTAACACACATTATCCCCATTTTCCTGAACCAATTGATTTCATTTTCCAACACAATTCCCAACTACTCCCTCAATCTCTGATCCCTGGCCCCTTAACCACATCAATCCAACAGAATGTAACACCTCTCCAAGCAAACGCCAACCCACCATCACATACTATTACTCAATCCAATGGTTATCAACCAACATCTGCACCCCACCTACAACATCATCTCAACTCAGAAGATCAACTAGACCAAAAACAACACTAGTTTACTTAAAAGCCTATGCCCATCAATCACAATCATTTTCATCTGACCCTTCTCAACAGTCTCCACACATTTCTAGAACATCATCTTTATATCCAATTGAAAATCATTTATTTACTGATAATCTCTCTACTGAACACTCATGCTTTACAACTTCCATTACAGTCAACACTGGACCAAAAACCTATAAACAAGCATCTGGTGATCCACTGTGACAAGAAGCTATGAATAAAGAAATAACAGCTTTAGAAAAGACTAAAACTTGGTTTTTAACTGACCTGCCGCCTGGCAAACACCCTATAGGTTGTAAATGGGTTTATAAAATCAAGTATAAGGCTGATGGTTCAATATAGAGATATAAGGCTAGATTGGTTGCAAAGGGCTATACCCAAGAAGAGGGTATAGATTACTTTGACACTTTTAGTCCAGTTGCAAAAATCACTACAGTCAGGCTGTTGATTGCTTTAGCATCCATTCATAACTGGCACTTGCATCAGGTAGATGTTTATAATGCATTCTTGCATGGAGACCTTGATGAGGAAGTATATATGACTCCTCCCCCTGGTTACTGTCTTAAAACTGACACTAGAGTTTGTAAATTAACCAAAAGTCTTTATGGTTTAAAGCAAGCATCAAGACAATGGTTTTCCAAACTTACTCAGTGTCTACTTGATTATGGTTTCTCTCAATCTGTGGCTGACTGCTACTTGTTCATTACGAAACCACATAATTCTTTTCTTGCTTTACTTGTCTATGTGGATGATGTCATTTTAGCAGGTAACAACCTTTCTGAAATCGCTGCCATAAAACCCATTTGGATAATTGCTTTACTATTAAAGACTTAGGCAAACTTAGATATATATTAGGCCTGGAAGTTGCTCAATCCAATACAGACATTAATATATGTAAAAGAAAATATGCCTTAGACATTTTAAAATATACTGGGTATTTGGGCACTAAACCTGTTTCAACTCCAATGGATGCTAACCTTAAATTGACATCATCTAACAATAATGATCCCTGGTTGATGCCACTGGTTACAGAAGGTTGATTGGTAGGTTACTTTATTTAACTATCACTAGATCTGACATCTCTTATAGTGTGCAAAGTCTTAGTCAGTTTATGGTACAACCCACACAGCAACATCTCACTGCAGCTCACAGGATATTAAGGTACCTCAAACACACAGCTGGCCAAGGTATATTCTACCCCAGATCATCTTCTTTATGTCTTACTGGTTATAGTGATTCAGATTGGGCTGGTTGCATTGACACAAGGAGAAGTGTTTCTGGTTTTGCTTTTTTCTTAGGCAACTCTTTAGTTTCTTGGAAATCCAAAAAGCAAGCCACATTTAGCAAGTCCTCAGCTGAGGCTGAGTATAGAGCTCTTGCTCATGCTGCCTGTGAAGCTCAGTGGCTTTTATACTTACTCAATGATTTTAACATTTCTCATGCCTCTCCTGTTTGCATTTTTTCAGACAGCAAATCTGCTATATCCATTGCTACTAACCCAATTTTTCATGAGAGGACAAAACATATTGAATTGGACTGCCACCTAATAAGGGAGAAGATAACCAAAGGCACAGTTTCCCTTGCTCATATACC